GGTACTTTGCAATAAATGAAATGGCGTGCATGCAGAAAGCGTTGAATTCTTAATCACTCGAATAGCATGCCCATTATCATCATCTGTCATAAATGTGCCACTTGACCAATAGTAAGGTATTGCATATATAGGGCGTGAACAACGGTCCTGTTTGTTCCTGGTTATTGCTGTCACCTCACTCCAACTCTTCCAGCCAAAATTACTCCTCTACTTGTGTACCATTCTCCACCACATGCCTTACAGGTCTCTCTGTTCATTGATACCCAGCCTATGATGCTATTTGAGAATTGTTCTTTTACTTTCTTTTCAGATGAAAGGGTTCATCCAGTCAACATGTGTTTGATCCCCCACACTGTGAATGAAAATCAACCATCGGGCATTATTGCGGGTCAGCTGGTCATCGACGACTCATCATCACCATTATCATCTTGCGGTAAACAGCACTGCTGCCCTCCCCCTCAAAGTCTAGGCAGGCAATTTGATTATCAGTGCCATGTTGACACTCCAGAGAATAACGAGGCCATTCCACAGCTTCAAAAAAATGTTAGTTCATTGTTTAGACTGGATGATGGCTTTCTGCTTCGTACCAAGGTTCCACTACTCTACAGTAATTTCAAGGACTCTAATGGCAGCGTGGAAGTACACTTCAGCTGTTTCCATACCAGGCATCCACTGCAATTCATTGGACAATCTCTCCAAGTTTCTGTTGCAGGTGCAGTGATTATGCGCTTGTTTAACTAAGAGCGGTTTTCACTCGAGTGTCAAAAGAAACTCTCATTTGCTTTGGTTTCGCATTACTACACTTGCGATTGGCTAGGAAATCGTGTGCCTCTTTCTCAACGAATCAGCAACTCGGTCGTACACGTTTTCCCGCGCTTGGCGCTGTCTACATTGATTTGCTTCAAGTTTTGATTGGTTCAATAGGTTGCCTGTTTCGAAAACCGCTCTATTTGTAGCTTTCATAAGTGATCACCTAAGGGTTTGGAAAAGTGGTTTAACTGGTGCTAATCTCTTAATAGCGATGAGATTTTGTCAGCAACTACCCACAGAAAAGGTAGAAGTTGGTTGCCTGCGAGAGCTTCCAACACACCAAAGAGACTACAAACACACTGTCTTGATCCAACATTATACGATACCATTGCCTCATAGTAGACTTGCAACAATCTGTCTGACAGATTAAAATACAACTTTGAGTGGTACTTATGTTTAATACAATACCGAATTACTGAAATTTATCTCCAAAGATGGTCGCTTACATTAGGTTTAAAACAAAGGAAAAGCGTAGTGTATAAATTCCGAGGGTGTTATTTGTAGTCGACTGAGAATAAAACTGGGGTTTTCATGCGCGCGTGTTCACACGGAGAAATCATGGGTTGTGCGTATATGCTGATGCTTAGAATCGTAAAGCGCGTACCCGGCCCTTACTCGTCTCATCTTTGACTGGAAGTATACATGATTTCTGTTTCAAAGACGCTTAATCGTCATTTTTTTCCGATTAATATGGATTGTCTTTCTTCCCCCGTATTCAGATTGTGACAACAATAATGTGTGTCCAGACATTGACGAGTGTTCGTCATGTCAGAATGGTGGCACCTGTCAAGATGTGATTGAAGGCTACAGCTGCCTGTGTATGTCTGGATATACTGGTGTCCACTGTGAGACAAACGTTAATGAATGTCAAGGCATTGACTGTAAGGTAAGTCACATGAGCTTGAATTGGCTGTTGTGTATTCTGTCATCATATGCTCATAATTACACCGTTGTGGCCTAAAGACATTGGACTCTAGTTCAACACGTGGTTGTGTTCTAAGGGAAGGCCCCCCCCCCGGAGTATAGATAGATACCAGCATTTTGATGGGCTAAGTTGACAGAATGTTGGGGGGGGGGGTAGGGGGTAGGTAGCCCTGCGATGCTCTAGCATTCTATCCAGGAGAGAGTAGTGTTATTCTTAGTCACTTCATTCTACGGAGCCAGAAGATAAACACTGCCACTGATGATTCATTTGGCATTTCCAACTGTTCCAAGCCTGTGATTGAAAAAGACTTCAACATATGCCTGTTAAGTAAAATGATCAATATATTTTCGGTTTTTCTCTTTCACGGTAACCTTTGTGCTCTTGTCAGCCGAGTTAGCTTAAAAGAAATATAATATTTGTATAAAGTTAAAAACTTGACAACTTTTATATTTAATATTCGATTTTATTGTTGTTGTTGTTGTTTTTCTCACCAAACTAGAACGGAGGTGTTTGTGCGGATGGAATTGCATCCTTCACTTGCCAGTGTGCTGGTGGATTTTCAGGGGAATTTTGTGAACGGCAACCGTCTCTTTGTGCAAATTGTGCTGCAAGAACGTTGTGTGTAACCGTTACGCAAGCAGCCATCAGGTAAAACGTATGCCTTTAACGCTGTGGAATGCTGAAAGCTCTATTTGTTTGGTCACGCACTCATCCATGCACCCACTCGCTCTCACCCAGTGCTGTCTCGCAACTTGAGATTTGATACTGTTAGTGTACGACCTAAATGCTTCTTTTAACAAGGCCTTCTAATTCCCAGTAGGCCATTTCTGNCATCTTTGACCGGAAGAATATACGATTTCTCTTATTTTCTTCATGTTTAATGCTGATTAATATGTATTGTCTTCTTCTTTCGTCTTCTTCCCCCATATTCAGATTGTGACAGCAATAATGTGTGTCCAGACATCAATGAGTGTTCGTTATGTCAGAATGGTGGTACCTGTCTTGAAGGCTACAGCTGCCTGTGCATGTCGGGATATACTGGTGTCCACTGTGAGACAAACGTTAATGAATGTCAAGGCATTGAGTGTAAGGTAAGTCACGTGAGCTTGAATTGGCTTTTGTGTATTTTGTCATCATTTGCTCATAATTACACCGTTGTGGCCTAAGGACATTCCACTCTAGTTCAACACGTGGTTGTGTTCCAAGGGAGACAGGCAACTCTTTAACTCGGGGAGCCGTTCCCCCCCCCGGGGGGGGTATAAATAGTACCAGCGTTTTGATGAGTTTAGTTGACAGAATGTNGGGGGGGGTAGGTAGCCCTGTGATGCTCTAGCATTCTATCCAGGAGAGAGTAGTGATATTCTTAGTCACTTCATTCTACGGAGCCAGAAGATAAACATTGCTACTGATGATTCATTTGGCATTTCCAACTGTTCCAACCCTTGTGATTGAAAAATACTTGTTAATTAAAATAATTTTATTTTCACTCTTTCTCTTTCACGGTTACCTTTGTGCCGTTGTTAGCCAAATTAGCCAGAAAAATATTCTATAAAGTTAAAATCGTGTCAAGTTTTATATTTATTCGATTTTGTTGTTGTTGTTTTTCTCACCAAACTAGAACGGAGGTGTTTGTGAGGACGGAATTGCATCCTTCACTTGCCAGTGTGCTGGTGGATTTTCAGGGGAATTATGTGAACGGCAACCATCTCTTTGTGCCAATTGTGCTGCAGGAACGTTGTGTGTAACCTTTACGCAAGCAACCATCAGGTAAAACTTGTCTGCCTTTAACGCTATGGAATGCTGAAAGCTCTACGTGAGTTGAATTTGTTTGGTCACGCACGCACTCACACTCACTCGCAATCACCCAGTGCTGTCACGCAACTTGAGATTTGATACTGTTAGTGTACAACCTAAATGCTTCTTTTACTAAGGCCTTCTAATTCCCAATAGGCCATTTCTGAATTAACTTCAGCCGCTTTCTCAAAACGAGTCTTGGTGCCCATCCCTTGATATGAAAATGAGATTTCATGCAAATTAAACTCATTTTCATATGAATGATTGCGCACCAGGTCTCGCTTTGATAGAGAGGCTTACGGCAACTCGGAAATGGGCCATGCTCGAAGAGCTGTCACACGACTTGAAATCTGATACATGTTTTGAAACGCAACAATTGACTGTCACACAACTTGAACATTTTAAAGAACTTTCGCGCACCTTGAAATTCTGCTCTGAAGTACTTTACCAAAGCGATCATGTTTTAATTGCATGGGAATGGTAAGTGGGGAGAAAAAGTATTTCAAAGTGGGAGCTAAAAAGAGTGCAGAGTACATTACGTTTTCAGTTTGATAAGATCCAATAATTTTACACGTACTCACTCACTTTTTTCTTCTATGGCTTCGATTATGTTAGCATCTTGTTATCTGACATTCAAGAAAAATCGCCATTTGAGTAATCCCATTTGAAACCTTACTGATTTTTTTCAAATGTTTATCCTTTTTTTTTGTCCGGCAGGTGTTTAGATAAGCAATACCACATCCCAATTCTCGTGAGCGAGACAGGAATATCATCGAAGAGAACCACCGAGCTGGAGGAAGATATAGCAGCCATTTTGGATGCAAAAAGAAGTGAAGGCAACCAAGGTAAACAAAGTATTATTGTGAGAAAGATGTCAATCAATCGATCGATCAATCAGTCAGACAGTCAGTCAGACAGTCAGCCAGCCAGCCAGCCAGTCAGTCAGTCAGTCCGTCCGTCCGTCCGTCCGTCCATTAGTCAGTCAGTCAATCATTTATTCTTTTAATCCAGCTTTTAATCGATGACGTGCACTCTGCTCCGAAAAAAGTTCAAAATTCTTGATACAGGAGTCGAACGCCCCCTCACCTTCCGTTCACCAATCAGGCGCGGAAATTTAGGGGTTCACCATGGGTCATTGATGGCAAGAACCAACGTTAATAACTATTCTCAAGATCTCAGGGAATTTCATTCTAAGGTTGCTACAGGTTTTTGTTATCTCCAAGAGAAAGCGAAACAAAGTAAACTCGCTTACTTTTTGAGGTCGGTGATAATTGCTTGGTAGTCAGTGAAAAGTCAGTCATTCCCGATTAATAAAGATTATTGAGTCAACAAATGGCAATTAACCTTATGTGTTTTTTTTTTATTTGTAGCGAGCGCCAGAAAACGAAGAGCGCAAGCAAATTTCTTCTATGTTGAAATTCTTAAAATCAATCAACTGAGTACCCAGAGACAGAGTCTACTGATCCTCACAGCCCTGGATGCCACCAACACGTACTCCCCTCTTCTCGCTTCTGAAGCATGCGCATTGCTCGTCAACACCGAGCGCAAGTGCGTGGAGAGTTGTCAAATACTGATAGAGGCTGACCTGCCTTGTGGCCAAGGGGGATCAAATAAGAATGTTGATGTTCCCAAGGAAGAAGCATCACAAAGCCTGTCCACTGGAGGAGTGGCGGGCATTTCTATGGTGATCATTGTTCTCATTGGTGCCATTCTAGCTGGTGCTGCCTTCTACTACAGAAGGAAATACAAAATGGCAAAGGTAACTAGATTGAACTGAATTTTCCATTTTGCGTGTAGATTTTTTCCATCATCAGTTTTTGTAGTTGATTTGCTGTGGCTTGTTTCTGTCACATTTTTCTCAGAGAATATGTCATTCACTTCAGTCTATATATTGCAAGGGATGAAGCCCACTTCTTAAGGGTCCTAATCCGGGATTGTTATATTTCAGCATAGTAGAACGCTTAAACAATCAAATAAAAACCGTGTCTCACTTAAAATCTCGGCCCACAGTAATGCTTTTTGGTTTGGAAAACACATACATACGTTTTGACGCTCTTTTATAATTGTGCAAAAGTGGACAGTTTTCATAAGCGTAGCGCTATTGTTTCGGTGTGGTGGAATAAAGACGAAGTCTTCCAACCAGCGTAATCCCAATCGTGAATGTGTCTGAAATTAATTACTTGTGATTCGTTCCGAGCTTAAACGGAAATATAGTAAGGGAGGGAGGGAGGGA